CCATTTTCTTATTCCCCGCCCTCGGATTCTTTCCCCTTCCCTGACAATTTCAGTGACTGTTGCTTCAACACGCCTCACTATATAGTATGGTATTGCTCTTCTTGGCCTTTGCCTACAGTCTAAAGTTATATGAGAACATGTTTCTTTCTACTCGTGTGTGATGTGACTCCTGTCCATGCATCTTGGAAGGACAAATCGCACTGCTGAATCATGGTAGTACATGGTGGGCTTCATGGCCGATATCTCCGGAAATAACTCACTACCATATTTTCATTACAACGCACACGAGACAAAACAATAGTGGTGACTAACATCCACTAGTTACGCCTCTGCTTGTAACTGCTGCCTCCTCTCTGTTTCAACACAGCCAATTGGCAGAGAAGGCAAAATCGATTGTGTAAGGCCCAATGGGAAGGTGCTGAGGCAGAAGGGGAGAAGCAATAAAGGAATTCAAGCAAGTGATGGCACTATATGCACAAGAACTAGAGGGTAGACGGTGACGAGTAAGTGAGGGGGGAGAGTGAGAAACTTAGAACGAGAATGAATTGACTAAGGAATGAAAGTGACAAATATGAAACCCTAGAATTGTGTACCCCTTAGTATCTAACCCGCTACAGCCTACACAGGCTACATCATATAAGTTTGACACACCACCATCGGCAAAGTGGGGGAGAACAAGGGGTCACAAGACCAGTCAAGCAAAGCAAGGCAAAGCAAGCTCAGGGTGGATCACAACGTTACCACACATTCTGAGCACAAGTTCAAGGCCACAAGGCCAGTTCACATGCATGAGTACACACATATATATAACGCTAAACAAGCAAGAGCAGGTATATATATATGTAACAGTACAAGCAAGGTCAAGAAGTGAGCAAGTGAGGCAAGACAGGTACAAGACCTAACAGAGTACAGAAGGGCTGATGGTAACAAGGCGCAAGTTGCTGAGGCAGAAGGGGAGAAGCAATAAAGGAATTCAAGCAAGTGATGGCACTATATGCACAAGAACTAGAGGGTAGACGGTGACGAGTAAGTGAGGGGGGAGAGTGAGAAACTTAGAACGAGAATGAAAAACTTAGAACAAGGCAAAGCAAGCTCAGGGTGGATCACAACGTTACCACACATTCTGAGCACAAGTTCAAGGCCACAAGGCCAGTTCACATGCATGAGTACACACATATATATAACGCTAAACAAGCAAGAGCAGGTATATATATATGTAACAGTACAAGCAAGGTCAAGAAGTGAGCAAGTGAGGCAAGACAGGTACAAGACCTAACAGAGTACAGAAGGGCTGATGGTAACAAGGCGCAAGTTGCTGAGGCAGAAGGGGAGAAGCAATAAAGGAATTCAAGCAAGTGATGGCACTATATGCACAAGAACTAGAGGGTAGACGGTGACGAGTAAGTGAGGGGGGAGAGTGAGAAACTTAGAACGAGAATGAAAAACTTAGAACAAGGCAAAGCAAGCTCAGGGTGGATCACAACGTTACCACACATTCTGAGCACAAGTTCAAGGCCACAAGGCCAGTTCACATGCATGAGTACACACATATATATAACGCTAAACAAGCAAGAGCAGGTATATATATATGTAACAGTACAAGCAAGGTCAAGAAGTGAGCAAGTGAGGCAAGACAGGTACAAGACCTAACAGAGTACAGAAGGGCTGATGGTAACAAGGCGCAAGTGCCTTGGTGAAGATATCAGCAGTGTTGGCCTCAGAGGCCACGTAAGCAAGGCGCAGCTGACCTCACTGCTGCAGCTCACGAGCAAGGAAGTAGCGAAGAGCGATGTGCTTCGTTCTGTGCTCCAGTCTGTGCTCCCGACACAAGGCCAGCATAGCCTTGTTGTCTACGTACAGAACTGGAGGAGAACGAGGCGGCTCTCCTAGGTCAGTCAGCAGGTAGGTGAGCCAGCGTAGCTCCTGTGCAGCCATGGCCCCTGCGTAGATCTCAGCCTCACAACTGGAGCCGAGAACAGAAGACGAACGGGTAGACCGCCACAAAACAAAGCCGGAACCAAGGCTGAAGGTGTAACCCTGTGACGATCGCTGCGTAGCCTGGTCGTCAGCCCAAGAAGCGTCTGCGTGACCAGTGAGGACCACTGGACTCCGCCCTCCAAGCACAAGCCCCATGCCCGACGTACTGCACAAGTAGCGCAACACCCTCTTCGCTGCAGCCATGTGCTCTGGTCTGTGTCTCCCAGGAGCAACATAGCGTGCCAGAATGCTAAGAGGGTATGCAAGGTCAGGTCGAGTGCAGGTCATCAGGTACATGAGGCAGCCAACAAGCTCTGGGTACGGGCCACTCGACTCTACAGACTCATCCGAAGGCAGAGCTGAGAGCGAGTGGGGAATAGACAGAGGAGTGGCCTGAGGCGAGGAGTACGTGAAGCCGAAGCGCTGAAGGACCGGCTGCACCATGTGTGAATGAGTCAGGGTAATGGTGCGCTGTGCTCTGTCCCGGGTGATCTACAAGCCAAGGTAGCTGCGCAGTTTACCCAGGTCTGTGCACGTGTGTCTCTTCTACAGCTCGGACTTCACGTGGGCGAGTCCAGTAGTGTCAGCTGTGCCAAAGACCAAGTCGTCGACGTACACGAGGATGTAGAACGGCGGCAAAGAAGTGTCGGTGCGCAGAAACAGCGACGGGTCGGCAGTAGAAGGAGCAAACCCAAGAGCCGCAAGTGTAGTCCTCAGTGTGTCGTGCCACTCACGAGGTGCTTGGCGGAGACCGTAGACTGGCCGTCGGAGGCTCCACTGGGTACCAGGAGGAAAACACCCAGTGAAGACAGGTAAGCGGCGCAGCCAGATCTCCTCGTGCAAGCTGCCCTACAAGAAAGCAGTGCTGAAGTCAAGAGAGTGAAGCTCGTAGTCACGGTGAGCGGCTATGTGCAGCAGTACCCGAAGAGTGGTCATCTTCGGGGTGGGAGAGAAGGTCTGAAAATAGTCAACTCCCTACCGTTGACTGAAGCCACGAGCCACGTAGCGCGCCTTGAAGATAGGCGGAGAACCCGGCGGCCGCTTCACCCTGAAAATCCACATGCCACTGACGATGTTCGCCTCAAGAGGGAGAACCTCGTCGACGTAGGTGCCTGTGGACTTCCAAGAAGCCATCTCTGCATCCATGGCTGCCTGCCACTGAGAGGAGTAGGGACCCTCTATCGCCTCCGCGTAAGAGCGCGGAGTCGGGATGTCTGGTGCATCCGGGTCTCCCTCATGGGCAAGTAGCATGGACACGAGATGAGGTGAAGCAGCAGCAAAGCACTGGAACTCCTCCTGCCTGTCCTCAAGGACGTCCGTGCCAACGGCACACTCACCCCCGACGGACGGAGGACAGACTAGCAGCGTAGTCTAGGCGACGGCGAGCAGCAAAGTCGACAAGCTCAGAAACTAAGGCAGACGCAGCAGCGGACTCAAAGGAAGGGTCAGTGACGACAGTAGCAAGGAGACGCGTGATAGTAGGACTGGCAGCACGAAGGGAGTCTGACTCCGGGTCAGCAAGAACAGGAAGAGAGGACTCAGGAGGAGAAGGCAAAGGGGCACGCACCGGAGCAGTGGAGGGACGTAGAGACATCCGGTGCGTGCCGGGGACAGGGGGAGGACGCTGACGCGAACCACGACTACTAGTGCGAGCAGCACGGACAGGCGACGCAGGACGAGACGCAGGCTCACGACGCTCAGCAAGACCTCTAGTAGGACCAGTGTAGGGAGATGAAGCAGGCAGAGGAGAGGTAGGCTGTAATTGTGACTCGGACTTGACAGGCGGTGGACACTCTCACACAGGCTGGACCCAGGGATGCACGAGAGCCTCCCGCCTGACTTCTTTGATTTCAGCCACATTGGTCAGGCCCTGGGGCAGTGTGAGTGTACCTGCGACTACACTCTGAGTTCGTTGTGGGTTGTATTTGTGGGTTACGCACTTGCAAACTTGTACCATTCCCCATCCCAGACCGTTATGAGTACTGGGATGCCTTTCTCCTCTTTGCACGGGACTTGGGTTTTGGTAACATGTGCATTGTACCTTCCCCACCTCTGGCCATATGAGCACAGGGGTGCCTTTCTCCTCTTGCACGTAGTGGGGATCCATGAGATTTGGGGTACTATGACACATGGCACATGTACTTGGCACGCCCTCGACCTTTAGAGTACCAGGGGGCACAGCACACGAGAGGGTTACTAGGCCTCTTTCTAGTTTCGGGGGTTAGCTTGTTAGGTACATGCAGGTCTCCGTCTCACTGTGTAGGGTTGATGAAGGGCTCTCCGACGAGCCTTCACACGCCCCGAACGGAGCACCGAGCGCTGAGTTACGCGCGTTTTAGTCGTGCGCTCTCTGGTTTCGCGCGAATCTGGAGAGCGCAGGGCTGGCACCCGAACATGACTGTTCGCATGTTCCGGTTTTCCCCACCCGGATCCGACGGTTACTCTATATATTATATGTCGGACCATAAGCTTCGTAGGGGCTGGAGGCTGCCGGAACCGTCGGATTCGCCATCTGGCACCCGGATTGGGAGATATGGGCAGCTGGGTGTAGGCCCTTGGCAGGCTGCACAGTTGGCAGCCTGCAAGGGCAGTTCTTTGCCTAGGTGGCAGGTTAGGCCCACATTGCACTTTGGGGCATTGGGTTGGGACAGCTATAAGTAGGGAGCTCTTGCTAGGGTAGATCCTTGTCTTGCTGATGATGCCTTCGTGGCGAAATCGATACGAGACTGCTTCTACTTACACTTGAGGTACTTACTCTATTGCATGTCCCTACACCCCTAGGCTTAGGACTTGTGTTTTTTCAGCAGTTTGCTTGCCTAGCTAGAGGTTTTTTGCAACTTTCTTGCATTCCGCTAGGCCATTTTCGTCGTCGTTTTTTCCTGCCGCTTGGGGAGCCTCGTGTTGCCCCCTGGCGGCCCTAGCCTACCCTTAGAGTAGTGCCATCCTCATCAGTGAGTGAGGAGGCCCAAGGGGCCAGAACGGGCGGCAGGGTGCAACACGAGGTTGGTTGCCTCATCAGCGAGCTATGATTCGATGACGAGAGCCATTGCAAGGCCGACAGCCAGCGCTATGGTGTCAAACGCGTGCTTCACCTGCAGTAGTAGGCAGAATGGCACAATGGGGGGCAAGGAAGGGGAGAGAGGAAGAAGGGGAGAGCAGGATTGTATTAACAGAAAGACAAGTTAAGTTGCGGGGCAAGGGTGGGAGAGGAGGGTTGACGGTTGAAACTCGGCTTTGTCTGCGAGTAAGGGAGTGTTAGGGCACGGCAGCAATACGTGTGAGCATATGTGTGCACAGAAACGCCATAACACCCACCCGAACAGCCAGGTCTCAAGTGGGCAACACAACCACCACTCTGACTCATCACACCACGTGCCCCACCAGGGCCTGCACCACTGGCAGCACATACGCCAGCGTCTACTGGGGAGGGGGAAATGACCGTATTACCCACCTGAGCAGCCAGGTCCCTGGTGGGCACACGCCCTACCACCGCCCGTACTCGCCGCACCAAACGCCCTGCCAGTGCCTGCACCACTGGCAACGCATACGATAGGTAGCAAGGGGGATGCAGGGGGGGTAAGGAGGGGATGCAGGGAGGAAAAGGAGGGGATGCAGAGAGGGAAAGGAGGGGATGCAGGGAGGGAAAGGAGGGGATGCAGAGAGGGAAAGGAGGGGATGCAGGGAGGGAAATGAGGGGATGCAGGGAGGGAAAGGAGGGGATGCAGGGAGGGAAAGACGAGCTGTTAGAAGGCGGGAGAAGCGGTGGAGGAGATAGTAAGAGGGGAAGGAGGAGACCTAAGCGTTTGGGAGAGGGTGAGCGAGTGCACGGGGGGGGAGCGAGTGAGCGCGGGGGGAGCGAATGTGAGCTGGGGGAGCGAGTGCGCAGGGGGGGAGCGAGTGAGCGCGGGGAGAGTGAGTGAGTGCGGGGGAGGCGAGTGAGCGCAGGGGGAGCGAGTGAGTGCGGGGGGAGAAAGTGAGCATGGAGGGAACAAGTGCGCGCAGAGGGAGCGAGTGCGCGCGGAGGGAGCGAGTGCGCGCGGGGGAAGCGAGTGAGTGCAGGGGGGGCAAGTGCGCGCGGCGGAATCGAATGCGCGCTGGGGGAGCGAGTGCGCGCGGAGGGAGCGAGTGAGCGCGATGGGAGCGAGTGAGAGCGGGGGGGGGGCGAATGCACACTGGGGGATCGAGTGCGCGCGGAGGGAGCTAGTGCGCGCGGGAACGAGTGAGGGCGAGGGGATAGAGTGCGCGCGGGGGCAGCGAATGCGCGCTGGGGGAGCGAGCGTGAGCGCGGGGAGCGAATGAGCGCTGCGGAACCGAGTGCGCGCGGGGGGAGAGAATGCGCGCTGGGGGAAGTGAGTGCGCGGGAGGCGGGCGGGACGTACAAATATGGTTGCAGTGTCGCGTCTGCCGGCCCAGCACTTCTCTAAAGTGCGAGTCTTGGGGGTACCCTAGAACCTATTTTGCACTAGTGATACCATAGCACCAATACTTGGAGTTTGGAGACAAGTGGTGCATCTATTTTGTACACACACAATTCCCCGAATTGGTGGAGGGGCTCGGAATTTTCGCCAACACTCTCGCCAAGCTGTTTCAATTTCGCTGGGGCGAAATCGTTTTGGGCACTGTAGTCTCTCCAACAGTACTGCCAAATGTATACTGCTGCTTTAAGTTCGCTAACCACTGAGACAGTTCATCCTGTCAACCTTCAGTGTTTCAATTCCACATACGTTTTTATGTGGAATTGTTGGTTGACTGAATCTCTCGGGTGTTTAACTGGAAGGATTCGGAATGTGCATTCAGTGTACACTTCGATAAAAGTCTGAAACATCAGTGTTAGCTATGAAGTTAAGGCTGAAAAAATCAGTGTCACAAAAATCTCAACACTGAAAAATCAGTGTAGGTACACAAAACTAGGCTGAAAATCAGGAATTTCAGGGAGAAATTCCTGATATCGTAGGGCCTGCCCGTAACACAAACAGAAAACTCATCACCACAGATTGTTCATCTGTTGGGTTGATCCTCGACTCAACAGACTAGCTACAGAAAAGTAGACACACCAGTCCGACTTTTAAGGTGACTTCATCGTCACACAGCGAATCCATGCCTCTGAAGTACTGCTGCGATTTTTGCGAGAAGAAGTTTGTTGATTCCCCCGCTGCTCGGAAACGACATGTGAACGGCGCTTCGCACCAGCGCATCAGGAGGCAGTGGTACGCCACATTTGAGAGTAAGAGACTGATGGTTTTTGCCACCAAAAGAAAAGGCCTGTCAGGTTTCCCCTTTCGCACGAGCTGTCTTGCCCCGTTTCGACTCTGCGACTGAATGGTTATCCGCATGCTTGTGCGTGACGGTTTGGCCATGTGATGCAACCGTTAAGGTCCGGAGGCAAGTGAGGGACGAGACGTTTATGCCGGTGCATATCAGAGAGTCAGAGGCCAGAGCAAGGAGGAGGGAGAAAACCGGAAAGAAAAGTGTGCTGAGCTTCTGAAAAGAGTGAGCAGTAGTGTTTCTGCCTTGTGCTGGCGCATTTTTGCCCCTCAGACCCCACGTTTTCACAGCCTTTCGATGGTATTGCAGGGCCTTTGCTCCCGCGGTAGTCATTGCCCTTTCGTCAGCTCCCATTCTGCCATGATCGCATCTGGTGCCACTGTTGAGTCGCCATATGCAAACGTAGGTGCCGGCAAGGCATCATACATTCCATCATCTTTAGAAGTTTTTCTCAACTATTCAGAGACCATGATACCCCACCACGACTCAATCAGCTCGCATAGCTCATGTCAACCTGCAGTTCAGTGGGGATGAGAATGCCGTAGACAGGTTACCAGAGACAAGGAGCTGTAGTCAAAGTGTGAGGAGGTATTTAGCATGTACATTGCATATGGTTGTCTAGATGAAATATATATGCTCCAGTAAGAGAGCTTATTACCAAATCCCAATGTCATCTTGCACCTGGCCCTATCAACATGTACTGCTGGCCATGATGTACTGCGCAATCACAAGCACTATGCAACCGCACTGCTAGATAGCCGTGTGTAACCGCTCCTTCTAGCACTTCCCCCAACTAATGACGTGTATGAATCTGGAACCACTAACACTTCTGACTCGTCCTGCGGTTCCTTGTGCTCCTGAGATCCTCGCCCTGCAGCTGAGCTTCCTCTCCCAGCATGAGCAGCAGCAGCAGCAGAGGCAGCAGAAGCCATAGCGGAGGCTGCTGCAACTGCTGCTGCAGCAGCAGCAACAAAAGATGGACGTCCCCCAGGCAACGAAGGGGAGAGCGGAGAGGGTGGGTTAGATGCTGAAGGTGGAATAAGTGGGGTAGTGAAGGACGCGATAGTAGCAGCTGCAGCTGCGGCATCCGCAGCCGACGTGCGAATGGGTAAGCTTGAGATCCGCTTAGGTGTGCTTCTCCTGTAAAGCATGTAAAGCAATACTTGTACAGCAGACAACAGCAGACCGAGGAAGTTTGGCGCCTGCAACCAAAAAAATGAAAGATAGCAGCAATATCAGCCGACTTGCTAAAAATATAATTCAGGGAAGAGGACAAGAGGAACATGCTTACCGCCACAAATATGTCAGAGGTTGACGCTCCATAAGCCGTCCACACAATTGTATGGACAAGCGACACAGCACAAAGCTGGATAGGAAAGAACTCGACACTCCGTGTCTGAATCATTTGTGCCTGCAGTGGGGTAAGGGTCCGTGTTCACACAGCCTTATTTAAAAGGCAACTTGCTGTAATGGTGAACGACAGAAAAGAAAACGGCTCATTTACCACGGCCGTCAAGGGAGCAGCAAAGGAAGCAGTGCTGGTGCAGTCCCCAGAAAGGCCAAACACCAATGGTCTAACAGGTGCAGGTATGACTGACACAGCCAGTGATGCCATCGTGGCCGCACATAGCACAATGCTCGTGATGGCTGCACCAATAAATCTCTGCAAGTGAAACGAACAGAAGCAGTTAGTAAACAAGGTGAACAAGGCTGTTCTAGAACACGACAAAACAGGGACACCAATACGACACATACAGGAGTCGGTACCAATGACATTACCTTGTGTTCTGTGGAAAAGAGATAAAAGATCAAACAGTACGATCCGTTGAACAGCAACCCCAGGATGCTTATAACAAACACGCTGAACGCGTTGGCCACCGCTGGGGATCCGTAAATGGTCCAGACGAACGAGCTGAGCAGGCCGCATAAATAAGGAGCACTTGAGTGTTTGTCTGCAGAGCGCTTCTTGAAGATGTCAATGAAAGTTGGCCTGAAACCATGGAAACGTTAATACACGTGATCAGATCACAAAGAGATTAATTCTTGATGCCGAGAAAAACACCACAGGACTGCTAAAACAAGTACTTGCTTACAATGGTGCAATATACAGAGAGAGACCCGTGATAGTTCCTGCAAGGCAAGGAAGAGAGAAGGCAAGGTTAAAAGAGGCCACACCGAGTAACGGAAAATGAACAGACTCAACATCCGTCAGGCAAGTTGAGAGAAACTCACCTGCGATACCCAGCAGCGATTGAAAAGAGGGGGAATAGAACACGTCTGCGAATCCTGTATTTGAAGACCCTAGAGTCACCGAAGGCAGGGAGGCCATAGCTGCTGCGATAAAAGCTCCAAAGTTCAATAAACTAAGCGACTGGTAGCATTCAACAGCAAGAACTACAACGATTCCGACAGTCAAAAATAATAATGGTCGAAAATCTAGTCTAGCAGAGGCCAACCGCTTGTGTAGATTAGTAGATTGCTGCTTTCCTTGATCGCCTTTGCCGCTAACATGGAGTGGGAGACGGGGTTGGATGAGACAGTTAGCAGCCTCAAAGAAACCAGCTTTCCCGGAATCCCCTAGGAACTGAAGTGGGATTCCCAACAAGCAGGGTAAATATTGCACAAGAGGGAGCGGTGGTGGCTTCGATGAACTGCCTGGTGTCGCCGTTAATACTGAAGGTTCAACAGAACAAGGCGTTTTGACAGAGCCTTCAACAGTGACGCCAGGCGATCTCAAGGGATACGCGTGGCACTGGTTGACGGCGCTTTCGCCACCTGAAACCGCCAAGCCAGCGGACACAGTGGTCCCTGCCACGCGTTCGGAGCTTGATGAACCTCTTTGAAGGACCCGTGGAGCCGCTACTGCAGACGCAGCCCCGCTGCGCTGGGGGCCAAGCTGGTTCCAGTCGCGCATCTTTGCGTTCTGCGTCAGCTGCCCTGTGATTGGGGTCGATCTGACCAGGCACAAGAGATTCCCGAGGCTGGCTTTGCATTCCTCAGTGACGACGGGGCATGCAGGCTGCTAAGCGGCAAACAAGGGAATTTTCCTGAGAGAAATTAGACCGCGGCTGGACCGCCAAATTCAAACTTGTCACTGACAGGGAGTGGGTGGATGTCACACGTGGACGGGTCAGATTTCGTCTGAGACTGGTGGGCTTGGCGTAAAACGAATTTCGGCGGCGGCAAAACCGATGTAGGGAGGGAGGCTGGTTGAGTTGAGTTGAGTTGAGAGATGACCTGGCCCCCCCAACAGTTCGTGGTGCTGAGGGTAGGTGGTGTGGTGATAATCCGGACCTACTATAGCTGTTCTACACTTGCCAGACAAGCAAGCCATGTATACCAAGTTATACAAGATCATTGAGTTTGAAAAATCTAAGGGATTCAGTTGAGTTTTGTTACAATCCCAGATGGGACTTAGAGAAGGATCGCTCAGGGTTGATCGCGGGGTAGTGTTGCAGCGGAAGTTTTGAGCCTCAGATCAGAGTGAATGTAAATGACCGAAATTAATTATAGCATGCATACATCGAGTTTATATAGGAAATACAAAGGAACACGAAATGACCTAGACAAGCAATGTACTCTAAGAGGTACATTCCCTAACTGCAGCGAATTCAAACCGTGCGGCGCAGGAACCCATTTTAAACATGTTCCCGCTCTTTTCATTTCAAAGGTTTCTGCCTGCATCGGTCTTCGTTAGACGGTTGCTGCGTCGCTTCGACTCTTCTGACTCCTCGACTTTGTACTCGGTAGAGTCGGCTCCTACAGCATACAGGGATGCCTTCTCATAAAACTTCATATCGTAACACTCTCCTTCATTTCTGGGAGCGCAGGTGGCTGACTCGCTTGACTACTCCGGTGAGGTCGGAGCAGTGCTTGTACTACAGACGTGGCAGTCGCTTGGTGAGGAAATCAGCTGCCATCTCGGTGGTGGGGCAGTACGTGAGATCAATCTTGCCCTAGTCAATTTCGTCCTTGACGAAAAAGTACCGCAGCGCGATGTGCTTCGTGCGGTTTATGAAACCCGGCTTGCTCGCGATTCTGATGGCGCTCTGGTTGTCGCAGTGAAGGCAAAAGGTAGGCGAAGTTGGATTTTTCGCTTCCTGCAACGGTTCCTGCAGGTACATGCCTTCGCGAAGTGCTACTGCTGCGACGATGTATTCTGCTTCAGCCGATGACATGACAACCAACGCCTGCTTCTGCGAGTTCCACGAGATTGGTCCGGTTGGTTCCAGACGAAAGAAACAAAGCCGGTTCGGGACCATTGATTCGCAGGATCAGCGGCATGATCTGCGTCCACGTAGCCGTTGAGGTTGAAGGAGATAATCGTCAGCGTGGAGTAGGAGAGCCCGATGTTAGGCGTGGAGATGAAGTACTGCAGGGCGCGTTCCAGGTCCAGCTGGTTCTTAGCTACTGGCTTGCGAGAGTACTGTGCCAGTTGGCTGGCAATATACGAAAGGTCGGGTCGGCATGTGACAGAGGCGAACAGCAGGCAACCCAGTTGCTGCTGGTACAGTTGAAGTCCTGCGGGGGACAGAGGTTTGCTGTCCGGTTTGTGGTTGGCGCTGGGGTTGCGGTAGGGAGTTGAGAATAGTGCGGGCAACATGTTGAAGCGTTGACCAAGCTGTTATGCGTACTTGGAGGCGGACAGATGAATTGCTTCTGGCGCGTAGAGATGTTCAATCCCAAAAACTGCTTGATGTTGAGGTTGATGGTGATGTCAACGCGCTGCGCCAAGTTCTTCTCAAGCTAGTTAAGGAGTTTGTTGCAGTTGCCCGTGTAGAGCAGGTCGTCGATGTAGACGGTCAAGAGGATGTAATCACCGTTGAAGTGAAGGCGGTACATTCCCGGGTCGTGCGGCTGCTGCCTGAAGCCGAAATCAAGGAGGATCTTGTGCAGATGCTGCTGCCAGAGGCGAGGCGCCTGCTTTATCCCGTAGAGGGATTTCTTCAGCTGTCAAACCCTATGATCTCCTTCTCCGTAGGTGTGTGGCTGCTCCACGAAGATGGTTGCGTCCACCAACGCGTATTGTCAAGAATCAGAAGTGTTGAACTATGAAAAGTTGGAGTACAAGTAGTAAACCCTAGCTTTGTGTACCCCCTAAAGGCTAACCCACTATAGCATACACAACAATAACACATATAGTGTTTGACACACCCCCATAGGCAAAGTGGGGGAGAGCAAGGGGTCACAAGACCAGTCAAGAGAGGCAAGCAAGCTCAGGGTGGATCACAACGTCACCACACATTCCGAGCACAAGCAAAGGGCCACATGGCCAGTTCACATGTAGAAGTATATATGCAGCACAAACAACAAGGGTGATCTCAACCTAGCAGAGCAGACAGGCAGGAGTACATATATAGAGATCACAATACAGGTAAAGCCTACAACAAGTGAGGAAAAGTGGGCACCAGCCCCAGCAAAGTGCAGAAGCGCTGATGACCAGGCTGAAGTGCCTTGGTGAATATATCAGCTGTGTTGGCCTGAGAGGCCACGTAACGCAGAGGAAGCTGACCGCGCTGCTGCAGCTCTCGAGCAAGGAAGTAACGGAGAGCGATGTGCTTCGTTCTGTGCTCCAGTCTGTGCTCCTCACACGAGGCAATGGCAGCCTTGTTGTCGACGTACAGCACTGGAGGAGAACTAGGCCGCTCTCCCAGCTCGGTCAGCAGGTAGGTGAGCCAGCGTAACTCCTGTGCAGCCATGGCTGTGGCGTAGATCTCAGCCTCACAACTGGAGCTGAGAACTGAAGACAAACACGTAGAGCGCCACGAAACTGAGCCAGAGCCAAGGCTGAAGGTGTAACCCTGTGACGACCGCTGAGTAGCCTGGTCATCAACCCAAGAAGCGTCTGAGTGCCCAGTGAGAACAACTGAGCTCCCTCCTCCAAGCACGAGCCCCATGCCCGATGTACTGCACAAGTAGCGCAAGACCCTCTTAGCAGCATACCAGTGCACCTTTCGGTGCCTGCCAAGAGCCACGTAGCTGGCCAGAAGGCCAAGAGGGTATGCTAGGTCAGGACGAGTGCAAGTCATCAGGTACATGAGGCAACCAACTAGCTCTGGGTAAGGACCACTCGACTCTACGGACTCATCCAAAGGCAGAGCTAAGAGCGAGTGACCTACAGCCAGAGGAGTGGCCTGTGTTGAGGACCAGGTGAAGCCGAAGCGCTGAAGGACCTGCTGCACCATGTGTGACTGAGTCAGGGTAATGGTTCGGCGTGCTCTGTCCCGGGTGATCTGCAAGCCAAGGTAGCTGCGCAGTTCACCCAGGTCTGTGCACGTGTGTCTCTTCTACAGCTCCGACTTCACGTGGGCGAGTCCAGCAGTGTCAGCAGTAGCAAAGACCAAGTCGTCGACGTACACGAGGATGTAGAACGGTGGCAAAGAGGTGTCGGTGCGTAGAAACAGCGACGGGTCAGCAGTAGAAGGAGCAAACCCAAGAGCCGCAAGTGTAGTCCTCAGTGTGTCGTGCCACTCACGTGGTGCCTGGCGGAGACCGTAGATCGGCCGCCGGAGGCTCCACTAGGTACCAGGAGGAAACGACCCAATGAAGCCAGGAGGGCGGCGCAGCCAAATCTCCTCGTGCAGACTGCCCTGCAAGAAAGCTGTGCTGAAGTCAAGAGAGTGAAGCTCGTAGTCACGCTGAGCAGCAATGTGAAGTAGTACCAGAAGAGTGGTCATCTTCGGGGTGGGGGAGAAGGTATGAAAGATATCTACTCCCTCTCGCTGACTGAAGACTCGAGCAACATAACGAGCCTTGAAGACAGGCGGAGAACCCGGCGGCCGCTTCACCCTGAAAATCCACATGCCACTGACGATGTTCGCCCCAGGTGGGGGAACCTCGTCGACGTAGGTGCCTGTGGACTTCCAGGAAGCCATCTCTGCGTCCATGGTTGACTACCACTGTGAGGAGTAGGGACCCTCGATCGCCTCAGCGTACGATCGAGGAGTCGGGATGTCTGGTGCATCCGGGTCTCCCTCAGGGGCAATCGGCATGGACACGAGATGGGGCGCAGCGGCTGCAAGAGACTCAAGGTCCTCCTGTCTGTCCTCAAGGACGTTCGTGCCTAGAGCACACTCACCCCCGACAGATGGAGGACAAACATACTCAGACTCAGCAACAAGACTGGCAGC